TTCTGCCGCAAAAATTGATCTCTGATTTATTCTTTCCATGGTGTTTCTTTCTTGAGGAATGATTGCTAATCTTTTTCGTGTCAAGTTTAATTTCTTTAATTTACGGGAAACAAACGAGATTAAAACGTTTTTACCATGTTGTTCTAAAATTTGCGTTTGAATTTCTTTTTGAACTACGGCATTGTTACAGACCACGAAATTAAATATTGTCTGTTCAATGTTTGTATTTATAGAATTTTTGATTTTATGCGTTTATTTTCTTTTTACTGTAGATGACGTGAAGGGTATATTATTATCACTATTTTTTATAACACGACCAACAACATTACGAGTTAAATTATAAGCGTTGGATATTTCCTTGATTGAATATTTTTCACAATTTCTCATTGAAATAATCGTATTTTTAATTTCTTTTGTAATTGTTTTCCGTACTTTTCTTTCCATTGATATTTAAAATTTAAGATTTAAATTTAATTTCATGAATGCACTTTAAACTTTGCAAACGTGAACTTATAACTTTGCAAAACCCTGTAAAAACAAAGTAACAGGAAAATAAAGGCCGCAGAAGGAGGAGGCCGCAAACAAACTCAAATGTTTCATACAATATAGACTTTCTATTTTTATGTGTAAAAATTTCACAGTCCGGTTATTCCCGGCAATTGAGTAATTTAAATTTTAATTTTAATTGTTTGTACAAGTTGATATTCGAGGTTGCGTAATTATGAAAATCAACTTTTATGGACGGTTCAGGAATACCTGTTAATAACATGCGACAAAATGTTATTGATAAAAAAAGAAGAATTAAAAGAAATTTCACTAACCTTGAATATCAAATTAAGTTCATTGGAAAAATCAAAGCTAGTTTTAAAAACAATCAAAGTGAGATATAATCTAACTTTAGAAGATGAAAAACGTTAATCAAGAAAATTTTAAATCAAATTGAATGACATGTAAAAAAATATTCAAAGCTGAAACAAAATAAACTTGTTGCCAAATCGGAAATTTGGAGAAACGAAGTTGGGTTAAAACTGCCTGAAAATCTACCTGCAACAGGATCATCATCATCCAGAGGTGATGTAGAAGTAAGAGCTACACAACTTAAAAGAGGAAGAAAATTAAAAAGACTAGGGCATTAATTAGTCAGCATGTTAATGTTAGCAAAAACCTTGATCCTGATAAAGTTAAAGAAGTTGTTTGTTTATTGATGGTATTGCATTACAGACATTTTCATGGGCTATGCTTAGTTCCAACTTGCATTATGTGTGTACATGCCTGGGAACTGTTTATGATTACAGTTGGATCATCCATTGACAAGTACTCCGAGCAGTCAGGCGAAAGTTGGAATAAATAAATTAAGGCTTATAAATCAGGAACAAGTTGTAAAGCAAGACAAATATCATTGCAAATTAATACACATGACATTTGTATGCAGACTGATGAGGATACTACCAATTAACTGATAAGGACACTTCCAATTATTGCCAGCAAAAAAAGAATTTTGCAATGTGGAACATGTGGAAAATTTAGACATACCACAAGAGGGTGTAAAGTAGACGTGAACAACGTATTTAGTGAAGAAAAAATGTTAATTCAAGAATGTTTTCTGTGACTATATAAAGTCTATAAGACTAATATTTATGTATATTTGTGTTTAAATATCAAACTATTATGAAATCAAATATATTTCATTATGAATTGGATATGATATTTTTTTTCAAACAACCTAGCCAGCCATTAGCTTGCTGGTCACAGAGATTGAGAAGCTATTTGTTATATGGGGTGGCCGGGGCGGTAGAAGACAATTAAAAAAAAAAAAATTATTTTATAGTTTGTTTGAAAATTTAAAAAAACGTAACGTATTGACTCTCGGCTACCCTACCCCTTCCCTACCGTTGCCCCATTCTGTGTATCAGAATGCATACATATAAAATTTAACTTCAAAATCAGTTTCTTCAGTCCAAAAAAGTAATATACTATAGTTTTCACAAGATTTCATTACCAAATAACGGATTTAAGATTTTTTTCCAAAAAATCTCACACTGAGCGAGCTTGCGTCAAAGTGCCGCCATGAAAACAAATTATTAATCAAGAACTTTTATGTCATCTAAGCGAACACTCCATAGAATTTTTTGTTTATAAATTTTGTCGTTACTTCTTTGTTGTTGTTGTTTCATCTGATGATCGCTATTGCGTGAAACTCAAAGTTATGTATTGAAATATATCTTAATAATTATTTAGTTTTCATTATACATACAGAGCCGAATTTACAGGCAGGCCAAATAGGCCATGGCCTAGGGGCCCCACAAAAAAAAAAGGGCCCCAAAATCGATAATTCCAAAATCATAATTTTTGGAAAGAGCATACATTTTCATTTTTTCCTTTTTATTTTTTTACTTACTTTCGTGATTAAAAAAAATAAAATATAAGTATATATATATATATATATATTTATACATATATATATATATACTTATATTTTATTTATATATATATATATATATATATATATATATATATATATATATATATATATATATATATATATATATATATATATAAATATATATATATATATATATATATATATATATATATATGCACACATTCAAAACACTTTATAAAAAAATAAAAATTGGCAGCAGCATCATCATCATCCAGGGGTGATGTAGAAGAAAGAGCTACACAAGCTGATTGCAATTGTTTAAATAAAAAAAATGCAATTCTTTGATAGAGCTAAAAATTTATCGCCTAACGATAATCATCAGCTGTATAGATTTAAATCAAAAAATCAAAAAACAATAAAAAATATAGACTAAACAAGTTTGTCAATCGAATGAGTTTTGACGTCAATATTAGAATAAGCAAACATATATGTATAATCTAATTTAAACCTGGGTCAAATAAAGAAAGTTTTTGTTAACCTTTGATGAATTTAAAGCAGGGGCGGGTTTTGTCGCTCGCCATGAAGAAGGCTAAAAGGTCTAAAAATTAAAAAAAAAAAAAAAGAAAAGGTCCGCATACTTTCATTATAATTTATAATCATTTTTAATTTTTTTACTTTTGTGTAATAATCAAGTTTATATTCTTAAAATTACGTACAATAGTCAAATAGTCTAATGCAGCTAAAACTTAAAAAATTTCGTTAAAATAATTTGAAAGTATGCATATTTCACACCTCGAAAGGTGCATAACAATAATAAACAATTTAAGCAGCTGTGGCGCAGTGGTAGCGTACTTGCCTCAGGAACGTAAGACCCGTAGTTCAAACCCAACCTCTGGGCAAGTTTTGCAACATCGGTTGAGAAGGAGGCGTGAACTTCCTATAAATGCTTTTCCGCGGTACTCTGTGATAAGACCGTAAGGACTTCTTGGGGCACCTAAATCAACTTAAAAAATATATATATATATATATATTGGTGTATATCAAACAATGTTGATATTGTATACTAACAGCTAAGAAACTGCCCTGTTTTAAAAACTTTAAACAACAATAAAAATTGCTGAGTTTTGTGAATATTTTTGTGTTCATGAATTTTTTACAACTATTTTCGTCATATTTATAATAAATTATTTACAATATATACATTTTGAGTTAAGATATGACAGGAGCAGGCAGAAGACAAAAGTCTTATCATCCAGCCCCTTTGTATCATTTACATATCAAACCAAAAAAAAAAAAAAAATATTGTTAAATGTTTTTATAGTTATATAAGGGCAATTCCGTGAGAGTGGCGGTCGTAACATTTGACACTCTTTAAGCTATTAAATTATTAAAAATGAACCGAATACGAAAATGACTTGAAACTTTTTCTGAATGTGAAATACTATCATATAATTTAGTATTTAAAAGTTACAGATTTAAAATCTTTAACTTTTTTCAAAAATAAAAAAATAAAAAACAACATAAAAAACCATACATTAGTACTATAAAATGATTTTTTTAAATAACTGTTTTGCTTTGAAGTATTTTTAATAAGCTAAAAAAAAGAGTTAAGTAGTTTGGTATGAGTTTCCTTATTTTGCTTTTTTTTTTTGTCTTTCTCGCGAAATTGTCCATTTATATTTATATATACACCTATAAATTTACTACTGTAGCATTTTTATTTAATGAAAAAAGTATATTTACAAAAAATTATTGTGAACATTTTTGTGTACTCGTTAATGTTTTTTTAAGCATACCATTTTTTAATTAAAAAAAGATCCTCGTAAGCAACTTTCAGGAAAAACAAAAAGTGCAATCACACTTACTAATACTAGAAACTGCAAATGAGTACTGCTACAAGGACTAAGGGTCTTGGTTGGGGCAGGGTTAAGGTTAGAGTAGTGCCTTGGCTAGTGCTAGATATAATTTTATTATATAGTTTTATTTCTACAAATATTCGTTTTTGTAAATAAATGTTTAAAAATTTAGTTCCTAATAAATTATTTTTAAAAACTCACTATCATCAAAATAATGTTATGAATAAAAACTAAACGCCTACACCTTTTAAAACCACCAACAAAAAAAAGCTTTTAGAAACATTCTTAGTTTTTTTTTTTTTTTTTTTTTTTTTGAGGAAAGGGAAGAAGGACCCATATTTGTATCGTTCACTAAACTGATAAACTAGTTCTTTGAAAATAATCGTCGTTTGATAATAAAAAATAAATTCGTGTTTGTCAATAACATTTTCAATACTTTTTAAAGTATTTAATTAAGTTAAAATGAAAGTATTCCAAGGGAAAATCATAAATAATGTAATGTAATGAATAATAATAAGTTATGATTATAATTATAATTATTAATAACAATGAGAGGAAGTAAGTAATGAAAAAATGATTATTATGACCAATCATGTTATGATAATCTATTCAACTAAAAACGCTTTTCTAGAACTGTTGACATGTTTTTAGCATAACATTAAAACATAATTAGTTCTTAAAGATTTCAAATTAATTTATGTATGTTATGTTAATGCGTATAAATCAATGAATTTTTTTAATATACGCTTACACAGTTAATGTATTGTTTGACCAAATATTCGCAGAAATTTTTAAAAATGTAAATAAGGTTGAAAAGCCGTGAATATAAATTCTGTTTAATTTTTTTGAAAAATATCGGAGAAAGATTTGTTTTACCGTAAGTAATACTATTTAAGCTTTTAAGTTTTAAATAAATGTTTAAGTTTTCATTAGTTTTTTTTTTCAGTTTATTTATTGAATTGTTAGAATGCAAAGAATGAGTTTTTTTTAAAAATTAATTCAAAAGAATGCTAAAAAAGACTTTAAATCGTATTTATCTATTTAAAACTTTATTTAGCTTTTTAATCACTCAAGTGGTAAAAATTACTAATTTAATAAAATTTAATTGTTAGTTTTGGTGTCAATGTTTTTAAGCATACTTTTTGCATAAAAGAATATATTGCAACTTTTTGTAGCTAAATTTTTTTTTGACTCGTCTCCTAAATTTAACTAGATCAATCTTTTTAAATTAAAATTTTTTTTTATGCGCAACTTTTTTTTCAACGGTACAAACACTTTAGCTAAGAGTCGCCAACAAATACGCCTCGGGGAGTGTGGAAAAAAGTATTAACGAATTTGTTACAGAGGCAGGGGTGTTTAATTTTGTGAAGCAGTATATATATATATATATATATATATATATATATATATATATATATATATATATATATATATATATATATATACATATATATATATATATATATATATATATATATATATATATATATATATATATATATATATATATATATATATATATATATATATATATATATATATATATATATATATATATATATATATATATATATATATATATATATATATATATATATATATATATAAATATATATATATATATATATATATATATATATATATATATATATATATATATATATATATATATATATATATATATATATATATATATATATATATATATATATATATATATTAATACAAAAACTTAGATTAGAAAAGAGCCTAGCAAAAACATTAAGACTCAATTAATATATGTACACTCCACAGCGGCAAACCCTATTTACATCAGTTGATTGGTGTAGATAACGCTGCGTCCATGGCTACATCAATTAATGATACAGCCTTTGCCGCAATCAACGACTATATAAAAATCGAGGAAAAAATAATTGATAATAATACCTCTACTAAATTATTAAATAAAAATTAGTAACTACATAATAATAAATAAGCAATGATATTAGTTCACGGTATATTAACTTTAAACTTAGGATTGTTAAAACCATATATTTATCATAAATCAAATATCTCTAGTCATTTTGTCGTTTCTGCCTATTAAAATATGAGTCACTGTGTTCTTTCTTATCAGGGTAGATTTAATCGAATTATCACTGTTCAATCACTTATTGGGAAAATCGGAGTGCAAAAAATTTTATTAAAAAACAATAATTAAGTATTGATAAAAATTAATTAGTTTATAAAAAGCAACTGAAAATATTTAAAAAAATGCCGTATATAAAAAATTATTATTATTTTTTAAAAAGGGAGGAAAGGGGAGCGTAAAATATGATAGTATTAGGGGAGGGTTGTAGGGTTCAAAACTGTCAAAAATTGCCGTTAATTATGGATGACCCCTTATTATGGATGTGTATTTTAGTTTATTTTGACATTCTAAATCTTAACTTGTGCGCTATAGTACCTTTTCTCGAGTTCAATATTTTAGATCTTTAGGTTTTAAGTTAAAACCCTAGGATCTAAAACTATTATACTAAAAATTTAAAATATAAAATTATTTGATGAAAGTATTAAACCTTAGCGTAATGAGACACTTAAGCGCTAATATTTCTAATACGGCTAACAACAAAATGAGACACTTAAGCGCTAATATTTCTAATAAGTCTAACAACTTTTGAAAAAATAAATTGATATTTTTTAATTCTTCTACCGTCCTACTTAAAGCTTAAAAAGTATGAGTTGCAAAACTGCAGTAGTTTAGTCACCAGAGATCCTTTATTGACAGCACCTATCCTGTCTCATTTTGCCCCGCATACCGGGGCAAAATGAGACAGATTTTTTTTTTTAGTAATTTAAATAAATAAAGTTAAACAAAACAGATCTTTAAAGGAATCCCAAACTCCCAACACATGTTGTGTTCATATTAAAGATAATGTTAAAAAAAAAGGTTTAAACCAAGTTTTTTTGATTAAAAATAAATAATGAATGCATACCGAGAAAAACTAATTGTTTTAGCCGAAGCTCGCCTTTTCTCTTTTTTTGAATAACTCGGAGTCTTTAAATTATACGTCGCAATCTACAGACTTTGGCGATTCCTTCGAAGCGCGTTTAATTCATAGAAGTTTTAGCATTTGATGTCACGGTAGGTTTTTAAAAAAAGAAAAGTGTAATTAAAAAATGCTGCGTTTTTCTACTTTAATTCAAAAAGTACGATGTAGTAATTTTTTAACATACAGCAAAACAACTTTTACAACAAATTTTTGTAAAAATCAAAAATAATAAAAGCTTTTTATTTCATAAGAGGAACTTTTTTCTTACCGATATCTTAATAATTTTTAGATTTATATATTTTACTTATATTTCTTTTGTTTTTAAATTAAAACAAATATTAAAGCTTTACTTGCGAATCTTATGATTTTCATACGAGTGTTTTACATTATATAGAACGTTATGTATACAGTCTCTCGTTTTTGTGCAAGAGAGCGCAGTATTATATATTCTGAATCTTACTTAATTTTATTTAAACAATGGGAACTTTTTTCTAACTTCTTTGGTTATTTTTACGCTATGATATTTTTTCTTTTCCCGTCGAAAAAAAATATTAACAATTAATTTCATAAACTAACAGTATTAATTAATTAAGCGGCTGTGGCGCTGTGGTAGCACACTTGCCTCAGAAAAGTAAGATCCTTGGTTCAAACCCCACCCCTGGGCAAGTTTTGCGACATTGGTTGGAAAAGAGGCGTGAGTTTCCTATTAAATGCTCTTCCGCGGTGCTCTGTGATAAGACCGTAAGGACTTCTTGGGGCACCTAAAATCAACATAAAAAAAAAAAAAAAAAATTAGAGATATATGATAAATTGTTAACTTTTTTTATTATAAAATTTTTTTGATTACGCTGATTTATTTTAAATTGCTAAATTTGCTAAATCGGATACGGATAAAAAGGAAATATAATTTTATTTTACATTTTATTTTTGATAATGAAACTTTTAAAATGTCGGCAACTCCATACCAATTAGAACCTGTTAAGGTTATGAAAAAAAAGTACAAGAATACACTAAACAATACAGTTGACAGTAGTATCAGATATGCAAATTCGTGAAAGGATATGCGAGATCTCGGTTTTGCATTAAAAGTACAATTAATAACAACACAAGTCGGCATTATAAATTTTGATAGTTAGTTTACTGTTCAATATTTTATAATATTGAACAGTAAACTTTTATACAACTAACGCCCGTTTTATAGAACTAACATTTAACAAAAATACGGACAAATTATTTTTATATAACGCAATAATTAACACATTAATTAATAGCAATAATTCAAGAAAAATGGTAATTTAAATTGTCAAAAAGTCATAACGCGCGTTAAAAAACATATTTTAGTTGGTATTTCCCAATTTGTATCGTATTTGGCATTTGTCTCTTAACATGAAAAATTAAAAAAAATTTAAAACACAACAAATACAAAATTTCAAGCAATTTTCTCTTCCAATTTTCATTTATTCAAAGAAAAGTTACTATTCAACTTTTATTTCTCTCATTTAAAAAAAGAACGAGTGACGCAAAAAAAAAAAAAATAATAATAAAAAATATTCTATACAACTCTTTTATTCATTCGAAGTTTAATTACGCGAAACTTTTCTTTTCTCTTTTGTTCTACTCTTTTTTAAAAAGAGCGAGCGATGAAATAAAAAATTTTCTTTCTTAACATAAATTTATACGTAAAGATAAAATTAAATTAGAAATAAAGCAACAATGAACAAAGCAACTAACAGATTAATTTAGGACTATTTTGATATTAATGAAAATAATCAACATAAACAACATTACCAACAGCAATTATCAAATAAACAACACAATATCGCATAATTTTAGGGGCTTTTCATTTTTTTTGCTTAGTCGTTCTAAATAATAAAGAAGTATAGTTTAAGTTAGTATTTCAATATTTACAGTTGCAATATAATAAAGAAATGATGTTTAATGTTGAATTTTTTATTTAATTATTTATTTTTTACCTACATTTGTTATAAAAAATATTTAAACCCCCGTCATTAAAATAATTTGTTTTGAATATATTTCAAAGTGATTATTCAAACTAATTTTTTTCGCTTGACTTCCCGAACTTCATGCAAAGCAAATTGAGACGAAATATCTAACCAAATAAAAATGCTTTTACTAATTTTATAAGGGTCATTAATGTAAAACAATTTTTTATCAGAGTCTTGATTGAGATAATCAATATTCATAATTTATAAACATTAAATATATGGCGCAATAACAATTTATAGCAACGAACCAGCATAAAATATTGAGGTTTTTAATATCTTTTTAAATGTTAAAAATAGAAAAAAAAAACTTAACAAATAATCAAAAAAAGTTCGAATAAAAATAAATAAAAAAATTTCCAGAGTTTCATTTGTTAGTCTATCGTGACGTCAAATACTAAAACTTTTATGAATTAAACGCGCTTCAAAGGAATCGCCAAAGTCTGTAGATTGCGACGTATAATTTAAAGACTCCAAGTTTTTCAAAAAAATGGAGAAAGCGAGCTTCGGCTAAAACAACAACGTTAGCTTTTCTCGGTATGCATTCATTATTTATTTTTAATCAAAAAAACTTGGTTCAAACCTTTTTTTTAACATTATCTTTAATATGAACACAACATGTGTCGGGAGTTTGGGATCCCTTTAAGAGGATTAGCAAAAAATACATTTTATAATATATTACAGTTATAATCAAACTGTCATTAGTCACATATATCACATATTGCTTGACCAGTATTTTGAAACGAACAACAGTTTAAATGAGCCCAGGTTGTGCATTTTGAACATTGACTCCACTTAAATATATATATATATATATATATATATATATATATATATATATATATATATATATATATATATATATATATATATATATATATATATATATATATATATATATATATATATATATATATATATATATATATATATATATATATATATATATACATATATATATATATATATATATACCAACTACAAGATCTAATAAAACCATACATGCATATATTAAACTTATGCATTTAAAGCACGCATAGCATTCATTGTATTTTGTTTATAGGTACTGCAATAACCTATACGTTATAACCTACTCACTATATATTTTATATACTACTTACTTTATTACATAATTAAAAAAAAACTTTGATTATAAAAAGCTTTTCCACTCAGTGAGATCAAAAAAGGCTAGGAAAAAATATATAATAACAACACTTACAAAATTGCAATTTTCGCGAAGTCGAGGGATGAAATGATTCCCCTTTTACTCAACTTTTTTATTTCAAAATGACTCAATATATTTTTCTTGACACAAAATAGTTTTTGAACACAACTGCACTTTTAAAAATTTTGCAAATAATAATTTGTAGGGCTGGCATTATGTTAAACGCGAACTGTCTTGTATTGCCCCACTGTCTCATTTTGCCCCGCGTTACCCTACTTCAGTAAAAAAAGCGTCATCGATGACGTTGACTAACTTTAAAAAAATATTTTTATTATTAATAATACATCTTTTTTTTCTGCTTGTTTACATTTGTGGTTGTTTACAAAAACAAACAAACTAGGCTTCTGAACATGGATCATAACAATCTTGTGATTAACACCTTTACAAGATTGTATTATACTATAATTAGGTACCTTACATAACAATCTTGTGATCAGCACCTTTTACAAGATAGTATTATTATAATACTATACTTTTTAATATTAATAATACTTATATTACATTTTATTAGTATAGTATTATTATAATACTATACTATTATAATATAATACTGATACTATAATTAGGAAGGCACCATTCTCTTTTATCAGATTTATGTTGCTTTATTTACAAATTTATTTGCTTATATTTATTTTTTCTACTTATCATAAATGATTAATAACAATTTTTATCATTTTTATTATTATTATTGTTACTATTATTATTACTTTTAATGGTTGGTGTTCGTATGAATACTTTAATAAAATATCTTCTTTAAAAGTCATTTTCTAATTACTTAAACTATTATTGTAATCATTCGTTTTAGTATTATTCATGTTTTACTAAATTTCTTTCTAATATGTACTTATTTTAATGAAATCATCTTAAAAAAAATACTTATTTTGTTGTTGTTTATTATAGGAAAAATAAAAAATGACTTCTAATGAAACCATTAACACAAACCGTTTTTCGATACCTGACTATTTAGTATTTGCTGCTACTTTGATAATTTCAAGTTTTATAGGAATATACTTTGCTTGTGGTGGAAAGCAAACAAATACCAAAGAATATTTGATGGCTGGCAAAAATATGTCATGGTTTCCTTTATTTGTGTCTTTACTTGCTTCCTACTTGTCCGCAATTACTTTATTAGGAGTTCCATCTGAAATATTCACTTATGGTATACAATATATTGTATTGTGTTTTTCTTATGTGATAATAGTACTCGTGAGCTCAACTATATTTTTACCAATCTTCTACAAGCTGCAATTGGTCAGCTCAAATGAGGTATAAGAAAAGATTTTTTTTTTAATAATACATTAAGGCCGTTTTCAACAAGACGAAATATTCGCGTGAAGCAATTTTTTTCGTCGATAAGCATGCGCAGATAATGTGTGTATTCGTTTGTATGTGTATGTGCATATTCATAAACCTTTATACCAGAAGAGTAGCATTGTACAGATGTATCACAAATGAGTTAATATTATTACAGACGAAAAAAGAACATGAAATTACAATACAAATATTTGATCAATATTTATCAACACAATAAAAATCAAGATCAATATTTATCAATACAATAAAGATCAATACTAATACACTTTGTTGTTGACCTTTTAATTATGCTATAAAGGAAAAAAAAAACATGCAACTCACAGGGCCGACGACACCAAGAGGGCCAAGGGGGCAAGTGTCCCCCCCCCCACTTTTTTCCTAAAAAACCCTAACCCTGACTTATTTTTTTTCTTTTAAATATAAGAAAATTTAAGATATAGACAACTTTTGTTAAGAATTGACGGTTGTGCCCCTCCCCCTACTTCGAAACTTTATCGTCGGTCCTAACTCATGGTAGAAAAACTCAATTAAAATATCCAACTATAATCATTGAATGAAGATTACTTTACCATATACTTTTATTTTGAGAAAGTGAAATTTATCTAAAAATCACAGATAAAAGTTGCATGAAACAGTTGTTTGGAAGGTTATGTAATTTCGTTGCAAGCACCTTTAAGCAAGTAACTTAAAACTATAACGAAAGAAATGTCTAAGTTTCAACAGCGATTCTCTGTGACAAGACCTTAAGGTCTTCTTAGAGTGTCCACGTTCTTTATATTTATTCTTAACTTTTCCAAGTGTAATTTTTCTCTTATATATTAGTATATAAAACATTATATGTAACAGCGAAAAAATTCACGCGAATATTTCGTCTTGTGGAAAACGACCTTTACTAACTATACTTCATATTACTTTTTAAATATTTACATTATTTTAATACTAACTAACCTCTATTAGAATTTTTTTAAATTCTTTTTTTAAATTCTTTTTTTTCTCATTTATAATTATACTCACGTAAGTAGTACAATGGTTGTTTCAACATTTTGATTACTACGCTCATTTCATGATTCAAAAAATTAAATACAATTATAAAATATAGTAGGATTATTATTAGTATTGCCAGAGTTTCAATCTAAGTATCAATGAAAATATCTGAGTTAAAATAATGTGAGCCGAGATTTACCCTTTTTAAAAAAGAAAAGAAATAAAACGCAATTTCATTGAGCCAGAAAAATAAAAAATTTCATTGAGCCAGAAAATTTTCATATATTAATTAGACTGGCTTGTTCAAGCTACACACATCTAAACGCACGGTCTCATTTGGAACTGCTAAAATCAGTCAACTATGTAGTAAACTTACTAAATGTAAAAAAAGTTAATAAATGTAACTAAATGTTAAGCCATATAAAAAAAAAAATATATATTTTTAAAATTGTTCCCCAATGCAATCGTTTACATTTTATACATATTATAATATTGCAATGCAGTCCGTGGTACAACAGAAGAAAGGAGGAATGAGCTTTCTATTTAAATGCTCTTCCGCAGAAAGGACTTTTTGGAGAACCTAAAGCTCTCTCTCTCTCTCTCTCTCTCTCTCTCTCTCTCTATATATATATATATATATATATATATATATATATATATATATATATATATATATATATAAATATACATATACATATACATATACATATATATACATATACATATATATATTTATATATATATATATATATATATATATATATATATATATATATATATATATATATATATATATATATATATATATATATATATATATATATATATATATATATATATATATATATATATATATATATATATATATATATATATATATATATATATATATATATGTATATATATATATATATATATATATATATATATTAGGGTTAAGAAAATGATGTTTTTGGCCTGTAGAAAGACTCAATGAATATTTTAATACTGATCCCAAAAAATCACAATTATTACATAAAATTCAAAAAAAAGTTCCCGCACCAAAACACGCGACGACATGGTGGGTTCCATGTATTACCAATAATATTTCTCTCTAAAATTATATCAAGTTGGATTTCAAATGGAACGAAATTTTATAAAAAGCTTAAAAAAAAACTTTTAAATAACATTTAGCTAATTAAAATTTACAGCGAAAAAAAAAAAATTACCATTTTTAAACAAAAACGTAAAAAAGGTTTCAAAAGTTTGCTGATAATACAACCATTTATTCTTGTCTTGATAAGAAGCCAAAACTCTCTGTTTTAATCAATAATTTTCTATATTTATTAACGGCAATCTTACTCCAGATTCTATTCTTCATCTCTATAAAACTCGAATCAGTTTTTGGGCGTTGCTTTAAAAAGCTTGCTTTTCTTGTGCCATTTTCTAAAAGTCGTTCGCGTATTAATCGTCATACATTAAAGTCTCATCATTTTACTGTAACTGTTCCTAAGCTTAGGAGCAAAATTTACGGATCCGTAAATATACAAAATCCGTAAATTCGTATTCATCTAGTTTTTTTTCATCAGCTTTTTAGAATTCTCTTCTCTTTTCTTGTTTTCCTGATTCATATAACTTGCAATCTTTTAAGGTGTCTGTTAATTGTTATTTTGCTTAATGAACTTTACTAAGTTTTTCTCTTCCAGTTACTTCCCACTCTATAGCCGTTGAAGATGTTAAAAAAAACTTCCTGGCTTGTTTTCATTTTTTCAATATTAATTTACCTCTTCAAGGCCGAGAAGGCCACAACGGTTGAGGAGACTAATGTAATTGTAATTATAACCCTCACTTAATTATTTAACTCCGAAACAAGAACCTTGACAAACAAGGCTACTCGATGGAGAAAGAAATTGAATATAGTACTGCCAGCGACATACAATGGATCGAACTCACAACTTCTCGTTTATAAGACGAGTGCTCTATTCTAGCGGAATATATGCCTTATTTTTCTTTAAAGTTTCAACATTTATCCTAGTATAGTTATAATAAGTCCTAATTTAGTTAAAATTATTGCAATGCAAAGTAGTGAAGTTGTTATTCATTGCAATGTTTCTACCTTATTTTTTTTATGGTGCAAACAAAACTTTGACAATTCTTTTCATCAAGATTTTTTTCACAACTGGTATTTAATTTCCTTGCATAAAGCTATCCAGTGAGCGTATATGAATTTTGAGCATCACATATCCATCATACTTTGATTCCTTACTTAGATGGCTTTGAGTAAATACAATGATTAAGTTTAGTTCAATACCGGTATGGCTAAATTTGCTTATTAATTGATTTGTTGACTTATAATATTTTGCTAAATTACTAGTAAACAATCCCAAATATCTTGTGTTGGAGCTCGTTTACTACACTGCATACGCTGAACAAACTATGAGCATTGTCAAATCAAATAAAAGAGATGATATTTTAAGGATAAGAGATCCCGATTGGTGCGCGGTTCAATAGATATGACTCCCTCATTTCTGTTGTATTTTAAGTATTCAAGTTGAAAGCGCCAGGGGTTTATAGATTAATTTGGAATGCATAAAGTTCCAGAAGCTAAAAATTTTTAGCTGTAATTCATTATTATTATGTTATTCATTAAATTTTCAGTTTTTTTATTATTTGCTGCATTTGTTAAGTTTTCTTTTTTTATTTGTATGACGTAAAATGATGTCAGGAAATCAGTCTGCAATTTCTGTAAAATGATATCAGAAATTTCTGCGAAATGATTTCAGCAACTTTTGGAATAAATATCAAATTAAACTTGTTAATATTTGACACCATTTTAGTACTCTTGTTAGGTCCTAATTACTTTGTACATTTCACTTGATGGTATGTCAACCATGGGATTACTCTGTTTTGTTATCATTCTTGGTCCAATAACTGTTGCTTCTATTTCATTTTCTTCATCTTCACCATCATTATTATTTATTTTTTTTGAGCACAGTCTTATCATTACCTCCTCACAATTTATAAAACATATAAAATACAATATAAAATAGAAAAAAGTAAAGTAGAATAAAAAAGAAAAAAATGTAAATTATTGTCGCACACAATAGAAAGTAAAAAAAAAGTAATATACCTTCAAAATCTGAAACTAAGTGCTTCCTAACTCTTCTAAAAGTATTTTATCTTTATCGCTCTTTGACAAGTGAACAATATATAAAAAGTGAGAAAAATAAATAAATTTATTTTTCTCACTTTCATAATAAGTTTTGTACATTATAATTTTAATCTTTTCATTACACTTTGTAAAAACTTGTTTTAGCATGTTTTCTAAGAAAAAAAAACATGCTTAAAGCAAGTTTTTAGTCTCCAACACAAGCTTTGTTACCTAAATTTCATATCACAAATTTTGTACATTTTAATTTGTTTTCATGTATCGAATTCCTTGTTAGTTAACAATTATATTTATATTCGAGGTCATAAACTTAAGTTAAACAAATTAAAGTATCAAATTTAGCTTTTGTAAATATTTTTCCTTTCTAATAATTAGTAATAGTTAGAATAACTTACCACCTGATGTCGTAACCACCTGATGTCGTAACTTTAAAATAACAGTTTTTGTCATAGTTATACTTTATTTTTAGTATATTTATTCGATTATTACGGAGCATCTTGTTATTGTTATCTTAATACTAAATACGGTGTTCAATAAGTTTCCTCTCAATCCGGGTTTTTTAATAGATTACCCATATAGTTTGTTTGTACCTAGGGTCATATGTGGGCTTCTCTGATAAAGAATTTGTTTGATAACGAGGTAGATTGTTGATTTTCTATTGGTGCAAAGTGTTCTTTTTTTTGCGGGTTTTTCGATTTTATGCAGAGACTTACAAAATTTACTCAAAACTAACAATTAACTTCGTTATTTAATTAAGTGTTGCAGCTTAGTAACACTTGATTGATTTTTTGAAAATTCTTATGTACACTACTAGGTACAA